TTACTTCTAATAAAATACTTTCTTAATAAAGCAAGAAGAAAATAAAGATAAGATATATGTTAAAATATATATATTTATTAAAGAAAAATATCAATTAGCTACTTTTAACTTAGTAATTAATTACTTTTATCAAACTTAATTATTCTTCTTGATTACTTCTTAATTCTTTATATATAATATTTTCTTGCTATATTAATTATAAATTATTTTTAATATAATATTTCATTTAATTTACTTAAGAATAAATAAAATTTCAAAAAAATAATTATAAAAAATATTTTTTAAATTGAATATATAATAATTAAAAATATTTATGATTAAAGTGAAAAAAGAAAGAAAAACTAATAATAATTAATTAGAAAATTATTAATTTAATAAAACTATAAATTAAATGTAATATACATAACTAAATTAATAAAAGAATAAGACTAAATATAAGTAATATAATAAATTAAAAATAGAATTAATAATAAATTAAATTAATTAATATAAATTTTTTATATATCTGATTTAGTAGTAATTAGTAATTACTACATTATATACTGTGATTATATTATATGTTATATTATATTTATTATATCATATAAATTGATAATTAATTATAATATAAATATATATTATTTTGATATTAATATTTTTGATTATAAGATTATTAATTATATCAAATTATATTAATATTTTATTTATATTCATAATATGTTTAAGAAAAAAATTTTTATAGTAATATAAATAAATTAGAAGTTAAGTAATTTTTATTTAAAATTAGTAAATATTTTTTATATAATTATTATTTTTTAATATAAGACAAGATTATAATATTTTAAAAAATATAATAATTATATTAATAATATTTTAAAATTATATATAATTTATTTTTTTATAAAATTCTTGATACTAATAATAATTTTAGAAATAATTTTTAATATTTCAAGCTTGAAATTACTATATATTATAATAAGTATTATATAATATATTTTAGTTATTTAAATATAAAATTATACTTTCTTTTTAGAAAAAAATTCTTTTCTATCATATTCAGATTAATATAATTTTTTATTTTTAATTACATTTAATTAATTTTTTAGTTAATTTATTTAATAACTAATTTATAATTTATTTAAATCAAATTTTATAATAGTCTTAATATTATTTAAAACAAGAGCAAATTGAATAATATTAATTTTTTTCTGAAAAGTATATAATTAATATTCCTATTTCTTGATAATATCTCTTATTATAATACATAAAATCTTTTAGATTAAAATAGATAAATAATAAAATATGTAAAATAATATATAATATTTTATAGAGAATAAATAAATTTGATTTAACTTATAATATAATATATATTAATTAATTTTTTAAATATATTTTTATATAATAATTATATAATTAAATATACAAATTACTTTATACTCAAATATAAATAACTTTTTTTTTATTTTATCAAAATCTTGAATTTTTTGATTATTTATATTTAAAAATATAATATAATAACTATAAAAAAATCTAATTATATAATAAAAATAATATTTATAAAATCTTTAAAATATATAAAAGTAATATATCTTAATTATAAAAATAAAAAGAAATAGTTAATTATATAATTAATAAAATAAAAAGATAAAATAATAATAAAAATATAATAATATTATAAATTAATAATTTTTATTAATAATATTAATATTTATTATTATATATATTTCTTATATTATAATTTTAAATTATATTTTAGTTAATTATATTATAAATATATTCTTATTACTTATTTTTAATTTTATTATAATTATAATTTAATATATTAATTTTATTTATTTATAATTAATAATATCTTATTTCAATTAAATATTATATATAAAATTATTAATCTATCATAAAATAATTTTTTCAAAAGATATTAAAATTTTGAAATAAAATCTAAAAAATTTTTATTTAAATATTACTAATTAATTTAAATTAAAAAAATTCTAGTTCTTTTGTATTATAATTATAAAGAAAATTACATTTTTATATTATTACTTTATAGATTATCTGCATTATATACTGAATTAATTAAATATATAATAAAATATTGGTTTCTAAATTTTTTAATAATTAAATTTAATTTTTAAGTTAATTATAATATTTTTATAAATAATACTTAAGAATATTATTTTAAAATCTGAATTTACTAAAAATAAAATATATAATTTTCAAAATAATATCGAAATAATATTTATACTATATAATATCTTATAATAAATTATATTTTTTAAAAATCTAATATATTAATATTAATATATATTTTGTAAAATATGAATTTATTTCAAACTTCTATTGCTAAGATCTCAAAAGCATTTAAAATATATAATATTTCTGAATTTCATATTATATTTTAAAAATATTAGAATTCTTGAATATTGAATATTCAAATCATGTGATCTATTATCTAATCATGTGACAATATCACTATATTCAGTAATTTATAAATCGGGGCCAACAATTTTGATGTTATACACAGTGAGCCTCGTTAAACCGAACCCCGTTAAACCGAATCCCGTTAAACCGAAGTTCGCTCGAAAACCGTTATATTATAAAGGACCCCGTTAAACCGAATTTATTAAGTAAATCTCTGTAAACCGAATTTCTCAAAATTTCTCACTAATAGCCCCGACTACTTCGGTTTAACGGGGTCCACTGTGTAATAGGTTTATTATAGAAATGTTACTATACTAATAATTTTTCTTAGAAAAAATTCTGTTCTCATCAAACAGTGTTATTATATTAAAATGTTACTGTAAGGAGTGTTATTGTAACGCAGGTTTGATGAACCTAAGCTTGGATCTATACTGATACTGGGTTGGCCATGGCTTCAAACTAATGCGTTAAAAATAGATTTTCCAAATCGAATGCTTACATGCCATTAACTATTAAACCAGAATTCCAGCACTAGTGTAATCTGTAGATAAATATTTCGAGTTAATAGAGGGATCTATATACGAAAGAAATCAAAGAAAAGTTTATTAATGGGTCTATTGTCAGAAAATGCAATCAGATTTGAAAGCTCGTTTCGATTAAGTGAGTCAAACGAACTCAAATTCATTGAAATCCGAGCATAGATATCGGTATTCAAAGTTGTCTCACGGATCTGGTTATTTTTTAATTTCGTAATTCCGAAATGGCAATTAGATCGATGCGTGGAAGTTCGTATAACGTATGCGAATTATCGTTATGGGTAATATTAACTATTTTTATTGTAGATTTGATTAAGATAGCAATACTATAATCGGGATAGTAACTAAACGATTTATGTCCGAACCATTGTTGGAGACAAAAGACGTAGATCGCACGTGTAATTACCCATAATATATTCGGGGTTGACACATGCGGAATTAATACTAAAAAGAATTATAGAGAATTTTATAGGTTGGCGATCACCAGTAATTTAAACGAACGAGAGCCAATACCATGGATTACTACCTTGAATTAATACGAAATCTAAAGAACCAATTACATAGATCCGATGACGAGTTTTGAAGTATAAAAACAGGTCAAAATTGCGGAGAATAGGGTAAGAAATAAATTATTATTAAAGCGCTCGCTCAATAAATTATCAAACTAAACAATTAATCGATTTATCAATTCTAAAATGCAACTCAATATTCCCGACAATTTTTTATTTGTGATTTTCATTTCCATAGTTTCGATCCACGAAAAAAAATTTATTTGTAATAACACGTTTCTCATCATCCATAGAAAATAAATGTATAACGATAATGATGATATGAACTCTAGTTGGATGTTTTTTTGTATTACAAATTTTTTCGAACATATTAATATATTAAGGCTTCACTGAAGTAAAAATGTAGAATGGACAGATGCACAAATACGTACTCTAATCGATGAACGAAGAAATAGAAATGGATTTTGGAATAGTATTGCAAATAACTCACCATAATCGAGGATGTTGTGTTAGCTTTTGTGACAAATATAATCACCTGATTTAGGCAATAGAAATGAAGTTGTAGAGAAGAGTATATCCTATTTCTGATTTAAATCAAAATGAAATTGATTTTGTCAAATTCAAGCTCACACTGAAAGAAATTAAAAATGCGAGAAATATGTAGTTTTAAATTTTGTAGACATTGACCTCTATGTTTTTCTACGCTGACAGCAAAGTTGTTGCGGAATTCAAAAAATTTTATCTTTATCAATTCGGGAATTCATTACATTTTAAAAAATTGAAAAAATCTCAATTTGTTAATGACCAATTAGTAAAAATTTGTCTTTGTCAAATTGCTAATTTTTCAAGTACCCCCAGAATAGTTTTTGCCTTCTTTATTTTTTCGTAGTCAAGTTTCATAATTGTCTTCTGGTTTCACAACGGAATGTAACTTTCAGCCAGTTCATTAAAGTAAATAACTTTTTTAAAAATAGTTCAAGTAAAATCATCTTTTTTTTCCCAGATGAAAATCTGGTAGATATAGAAATAAGTACCAACCCCTATTTTGGAGTTCAAAAAACCGTAATCGTTCTCGAAGTTAAAGTTACGTCGCGTCAGGTTCCACATCACATCTAACATTGGGCTGAGTGCAGTAAAAACAGTGTACAATTTACAACCATTTCTATTGCACTCAGCCCATATCCAAATACTTAGTTATGGCAAGCGTTGTTACGGCATACGTCGTTTGTCACGGCAATACGTCGTTACGAGCACTTTTGACGTGACGACGTCATTTTTTGATAACCCAGTGGGGAAACCACGCAAAAAAATTACTATATCGAGAGGATTTAATATAGACTTTTTTTGTAATCTATAAAAGCATTTTTTGTTACACCATCTTTCTTTTAGTGATATGTGCCAAAAAGATTCCTAATTCGCGTAACGCGAAAAAAATATTTGTGTGGTATCTCGAGCAAGCATATGATTACCCAAAAATTATATAACGAAAACCATTTGACATCTTTATAGGACACGATACCCTTATCAATTACCGCCAAAAATTTTAAATTCAAATATAATGGCTCAAATTCCTCACGGGGTAATTATGAAGGATAGCGACTTCTCCAGAGTTTTTCACGGCGAAAAAGTACTTGAAGGAAATTTCATTTCGAAAATAACTTCAAAGGATAAAGAGGCTCATGAGGAAGTAGTGAACGGGTATTTGAATTTTTGGCAAAAAAAAGACCCCGTATCGGATACTGAGCAAGAGAAAAACGAACGTACGGAAAACTGTACGACTTTGACAAACTCTTATTATGATATTGCGACTGACTTTTATGAGGTATAGTTGAGAGTGTTTAATATTTTTTTGCCTAGAATTTACCGTAGGCCACTGTATACAGTACCTAACAGCGGCTTACGGTAAAATAATAAAATATTGCAGATAAATTGATTAAATGAATGAATGCTATTAAAATATACCTTAGTATGGATGGGGTAGCTCCTTTCATTTTTGTCGCTTTTATCGCGGCGAGAATTTTTTCCATGGTATTACACGACATGAACATTATTTGGCCATGCAATTAAATCCCAAACCAGACATGAAAATATTGGATATAGGATGTGGTGTTGGTAAGTGAATATGTGCTATATATGCTATATAGACACGTTGATAACGCATATATATATATATATATATATATATATATATATATAAAACAATCATTGATAGGCGGTCCAGCTCGAGAAATTTGTCGTTTCACCGATGCTGATATTGTCGGTTTAAATAACAATGCGTATCAAGTTCAACGTGCTACCCATTACTCAAAGAAAGCCGGCCTCGAATCAAAAACAAAGTTTATCAAGGGCAATTTTATGGAAATGCCCTTCGAAGACAATAGTTTTGATGCGGTGTATGCAATTGAAGCCACATGTCACGCACCGAAACTAGAAAAAGTATACTCGGAAGCTTTTCGCGTTTTAAAACCTGGTGGAAAGTTTGCCATCTATGAATGGTGTCTGACTGACAATTACGATCCTGAAAATGAAGAACACAGAAAAATTGTCCGTGGAATTGAGGCGAGTCATTATTATTTTACAAGTTGCATATTTCCTATTGATATTTATTTATTTATTTATTCATGTTTCTAATAATAGAAAGGCGATGGCATTCCCGAGTTATTCCCAATTTCTGTAGCAACACAAGCATTCAAAAATGTTGGTTTTGAAATTGTAACTGCTGCTGACTTGGCAGATAATGACGATGAAACTACGTGGTATAGTCCTTTAGAAGGTGATTTTCGTAAAGTGCAATCACTATGGGATTGCTTCACGGTATTTAGGATGAATTCGGTAGGAAAGTTTATTACCAGAGCGATGGTAAGAATTATCAATTATTTTTCAATTGCCACTTATAACCATACTACTTTTTACTAATAATTATATGCAACCCTTTTTATTAAGGTTGGTTGTCTTGAGCAAATTGGTATTGCGCCTGTTGGCTCCCTTGAAACCCAAGCAGTACTAGAAACAGCTCAAGATAGTCTTATCGCTGGAGGTGAAATGAAACTTTTCACTCCGATGTTCATGTTGGTTGGCAAGAAACCTGTCTCGTAATTCTCTAATATTTATTTAACCTTTAAAAAAAGATGTTGATATTTATTTAATTTAATTAATTTAATATGTATGGTTAATTAACATCGTGTTTGTTAATGTTGCTATTATTAGTATCATCAAGTTCTGAATTGTCATCATCATTATGAATCTCATCATTTGTTTCTTCACTTTTCTTTCCATATTTTGCCTTTGATCTGCTTCTCCTCTTTGCTTCTCGTTTTCTTATCTTTTCCCTTTTAGCTGCTAATTTGCTCTGCTCGCCGTTATAAAATTCGTCTAATTTGAGTTTAAGCAAATGACGTGCAATGCCTCGATTTTCTTCACGTGATCGACTTTGTTGGCACTAATAATAAAAAATATGTCAATACTTTTTGGTATTTAGGTGTATTAAATTAAAAAGAAGTCGAATTGTCAATTACGCGAACTCGAATATTAGTTGGCACGTGCTTCAAGTACACACATATAGAAGACTTGTTGATTTTTTGCCCGCCAGGGCCAGAACCTCTGATAAAACTTTCCTCCAAATCCGATTCATTTAATACTATTTTTATGCGTTCTTTAAGCGTTTTAGAGGTCGATTGATCGTTTTCTTTTTTCTTATCATTATTATTTATTGTTGATAATATCGTTGTGCTGCTAAAGTATCGTAAGCTACGAAAACTTGGTCGAATAATGAATTCACGAGTTTTCAATAGGAATATTCGTATCATGTATGTGCTATATCTTAGTTTCAAAATTTTTCTGTAGATGAAACAAACCAAATTAAAACTCAACGGATTAAATGAACTCTTATATTTTTTTTAGATTTTCTGAGTTATTCTAA